ATACCCATATCCTCCCATAAGGGACTCAGCAATCTCTCCAGTCTCTCAGGGGCCCGTAATCCCTGTTATTAGAATCCGACTGTGTTCGTAACACAGATGAAGGAATCATCATGGCTAATTATCCCCTTTTGCAGTCTTGAGAACAGATCACTTTTACTGTAAACATGGGCTCCCTTCTCAGGCTAGCTGTCGCCCAGGCACTCTCAGGTGGTCAATAATAATCCTCTCCCAGTGAAGAAAAATCTAGTGAGGTTTGCCATTTTCTCACGGGATTTAGCCTGTTCTTCTGGGGAAAGTAGTTCACCTTACTGAAAATCAAAACTAATCATTCCCAAAAGGAAGAAATCACTCCACCAACAGATTCTGCCTTTCATCACTCCTGAGACTAACTCCTTTAGTCTGTAAGAATGGATTATCTTCTTGGGGGAGTGTGAGTCCAGCCTCTCTTAGCTGCATTAACCCATATCCACTCACAAGGGGCTCAGCAACCTCGTAAGGTTTGTCCCTTCTCTTGGGAATTAACTTGCCAGGACACCAGGCTTGGTCTCACAGGGAATGTTTCAAGTCCCATGTGATTTTCACACCTGCTTGGAAGAGAACCCCTGGATAATCAAAGGGCAGCGGCTAAGCCACACTTTGCCAGATAAAGAAACTCATATATGAGGAGAAAAGAAGATAGTCTCTGGTGTGAACCAGGAAAGATTCTGGTGATGGAAAATTTTCTTCACAGACTTAAGAGGAAATGTGCCTCAGAATCATTGTAACTACGCTCCCCAGAGAAGGGGGCTTAGTCTCGTGAGGAAAGGTACAAGTACTTTGCGGTACTGCTGCGCCCCTTGTGAGAGGATTTGGGTTTATTCAACTGAGAGGCGCTGAATTCATGCTCACTTGAGAAGAAAACCCACCCTCACAGAGAAAAAGGAGTTAGTCTCAGGGGTGATGAAGGGTAGAATCTGGTGAAATAATGATTTTTTTTTTCAAGGAATAGATTTGATTTCCAATAAGAATTACTGTTCCCAGAGGAGGGGGGTGAATCCCTTGAGTAATGGGCAAAACATGTGAGACTTGGCTCCACCTGGAGGTGAATAGGGGTGATTACCTAAGAATGTCTGGGCTACTGTTTGCCAGAGAAGGAACCCATATTTACAGTTTTATTCTCAGTATTTATTCTCAGGACTGCCAAAAAAAAAAAAAATCTAGTGTTGATGATTTTTCAGCTCTGTTAAGAATAGACTCAACTTCCAATAACAGTGATTACTCTCCCAAGAGCAATGATTTTGTATCTCCAGAAATTGAAAAAAATCCATGAGATTTGTGATCCTAATTGTGATATGACAAAAAATTAATCTCCAGAGAGTGCCTGGGTTTCTACTTTTCTTAGAAGGGAAACTGTATATATTGAGAAAAAGAAATAACTGTCCTGGGTAAAGTAAAACCTAATGTAAAGATGGACGGATTACTTCGATGGAGTTAGGAACAGTTTTGACTTGCAATAATTGGGAATTCTCTTGCCAGAACACCAGTCTTGGTCTCATGGTGAATGGTTCAAATCCCACGAGACTTTCAAACCCACTTGGAAGAGAATACCTGAATAATGACTCGACAGTGACAGTGGCAACCACATGTTGCAAATAAACTCTACATGCAGAGAAAAGGAGTTACAGTCTCTGGTGTGAAGTAGAAAAGAATCTGGTGAGGGATGGATTTCTTCATGGACTTAAGAACTTTATTTTGCTGTAATTGGGATTTCTCTTGCCACAGCACTGGTCTTAGACATGTGACAAAAGGGACAAATCTTGTGAGATTGCTGAGCCCCTTGTGCGATATGTTTTTATTCAGCTGAGAGAGGCTGGACTCACACTCACCTAAGAAGAAAATCCATCCTTACAGAGGACAGGAGTTAATCTCAGGATTGATGAAGGACAGAATCTGGTGATGGAATGATTTCTTCCCTTCAAGGAAAATAATTTGACTTTTAATAATGAGAATTACTTTCCTCAGAGAAGTGGGCTAACTCCTGTGAGAGAAGGGCAAATCTCAGGAGACTTGGCTCCATCTGGAGAGGTTTAGGGGTGATTCCCTGAGAGTATCTTGGGCTACTGCTTGCCTGAGTAGGGAACCCATATTTACAGTTGATAAAGTATTTGTGGTTCCATTTGGTGTCCCTGTCCTAGGAGAGTGAGAGCAGGGGTTCCTGGGAGGGAGAAGTGTGGTCCCAAAAGCCCATCAGACCTGTGTGACAGGGCCGGTTGAGCTCATTCCACACTGATACAGGAAGGCCAAGTAAGACAGGTGCTTTTCTAGGGAAAACCATCATTTACTGCATCGAGCAGACACCAAGCCTGCTCTCCAGGACTTCCATTCTACTGGGAGTCACACTGTCACAATAGACATCACATCCATGTAGTCCTCTGTACAATCATGTGACAGCTTCCTGGTCTCCTCTAGATATGGGTGCATCCACTCTTACTGTGATGAGTAAGCAGACCCCAGGACCAGCTGAAAGTGAGTTTCTTTGATTGAAGGAGGAACTCCCTGGCCTCAAAACACTGTGGAGCTGTGAGCTCCATGAATGGGCAGGTGCAGGCAGAACCCTGGATTCCAAACATCTTATGATTCTGGATTGAGAGCAGAAGACCTATGGCTTCTCCTGGCAAAGAGGAAAGGAGAACTGGAGAGCTGTGGGGGCAAGGCTTTGGTGCTGTGAGGAGCATCTGGGAGGTCAGGGAAAAGAATCAGCACCTAAGAAACCCATAGCCACTCCCTCCCCATCTCAGCCCTGCCTCCACCCCCTTCCTGGGACCCAGAACAAGGGGTAGAGAGCAGCCTGCTCAGCC